ACACTTTGGCTTACAGTAGCGATATTCGAGGTGGAATGAGTAAAACGATGATGACAGGCCTTGCAATATTTGTAACCTATCCAGTCTCTTAAAATTTTTTTTTAATTTTACCAAAATGTTTGAGTAGTTGGACAATTATGGGCACCACAATCTGTTCTTAAAGCACGAAACGTGGCTACTTTTGAAAGAACGGCTTGTGCGGTGGGTGAGTCATCTATTTTCATAAATCATTGACTTTTAACTAAAACAAAATATAATCGATTTAAAAGTTAAGATTTTCAACAGCGTCCTTTTGAAACCATAAAATGGATAATTTTATATTAAGGTTGAACCGTTAAAAGAAATAACGATAACTTGGAAACCTAAGTCTTTCGCGCTGTTAACACTGAGATAAAAATAATTTATATTTTTTAAATCACACATTATTATTTCGATGTTTTATGAAACGCCTTTGAGTAGTTAAATCTTACACTAAACTTGGTTATTAATTGCTCTAGAAATGTTGCTTTTTTCTAAAATATTTTTTTGGTAGCAAATTTCTTAATCACATTAAAATTATGAAGAACATTAGTCTGCCAAGAAATGAAAATAAAAAATTAGTCTTAAAACTGTGAAACAGAATGTACCTGAAACGTACAATGAAACGCAATCGCAATTAGTTTAAATCTAAAGACGTCTTGAAAAAGGTGCTCAGAAATACGAAACCATATATATGATATTGACGGACGAACAAAGGATGACTAGCAGTGGACCTCACTTTTGAAGAACCACCTTCTTACTATCTTAACATGCATCCCTATTCATTGGACGAAACCGGGTACGCATAGACAACACTAATCGAATGAACGGGACATTTAAACCAGTCGTTAAACAAGCGTACAGAGAGAGAGTCTAGTTTGAAGAGCCGAACTGATCGGACGTGCCAATTCATAAGTTTAAATATTTTAATTAAGTCTATATTTTGTTAAGTAGAAAAGTATGTTTTTCATGTATATAATTTGCGTAGCGGTAAAATAGACCCCATATGTATGTAACCCTAATGATTATTTGACCTCTGTTCATTCATTCCGTTCATTGCTTGCTTTGTTGTAATTTCAGGACATTTTTTATCGTAACATTTGCGGTCATAGTGGCAGTTAGCATAAGTTTCGTTTACCTCGTAAAAGTAAAATGGTCGATTTCGCCCACAATAATAAGCATCAATAGTGAGCCCGCCTTCATTGTCCGTGAACCGTTTCCTAGTGTAACGATTTGCAACATGAATCAAGCACTCAAGAGCAGAGTGGCAAATTTTACCAAGTAAGTTAATCGCACTCCTAATAATAATAGAAATCATCTACTAAATATCTATATATATATGCATAAGAAACTGGTGATAGACCTGTATATATTTTCCAAATGCTGGTTATAGCAGCTTCTAGTTATAAAAGTGGTCCCACAATTACGGAAAGTTTGGAATTAAATAAAAAACACTGTTTTAAGTCTTTCGATAGTAAATTTCTTGTTGAATACTAAAGTACAAAGAATAGGGCTATTAATGGAATAATTCATCGGGCAAATGACCTCCATTGCTTTCCATACACATACACACTCCTTTGCCGAAGTTTTTCATGACTTCTTCGTGACTTTTGCCTGCTGTGATAGCCCTTTGATTTTAAGTAATGCCATAAACACGATCTAGAACACCATCAACAGACCCTGCTTGACCTGTTTGATTTTCAAAAAAGTATCATCCAATTATGCCTCCATTACAAAATCCACAACAAACAGTGACACGTTGTGGTGAATTCATTTTCGTCAATCACCCTTGGGTTATCAGAACGCCAAAAGAGGCAAATGGGGCGACTAACAAAGCCATCAAGGTGAAAATATGCTTCATCGCTTATGATGACAATTCTTCTCCACGCCGAATTGTGGCTCCTTCATTGTCGCTGACACTCTCGCGCCCTGCTACTTCCTTGTCGTCAGTTGAACGACTTGTTTTTCAGAATTTTTCAATTAATTTCTTCACAACTATCTAGACCGGACGAATATAAAAGCTCTCAAGCAGTTTATTGGTCAGAGATGTGATAACAGAGAATTAGGTATCTGAGAAAATGTGTATGTTACTTCGCGGCATCATTAGCCGCCCTACATCTATTTTCTTGAGCGAATTTGACGATGGCGAAAAAATTGGAATACACAAGAGAATTCTTTGTGAGAACTTATAAACAGTCACGCGGGGTCTGAAGGGTAGAATTTGTACTAAACTACATATTTTGAGGTATGGACTGCTCTGAGTGCTGTTTTCCCTATTACACTCTATGCTTAAAGTATGTATGTACAAGTATTTTGGTGGACGCAATTTTACTATTTGTTTTGAGTTGTAATTTCAGTTGATTTGATTGGCTTAAACCCAAGAATTAAAAGAATCAAAAACCAATCAAACAACATAAGTACAAAAGTTATTTACTTAAACTTGGAATTGCGCATAAAATGCTTTCTGATATCTATCATTTCTCCTATACTTAGGCATACATACATTCGCATTAAGAATAATTTCCTATCAACATTACTCATACATTAAAATAATTATATAAAACTTTACCAATTCCATTCCACAACTAAACACAAATTCTTTAACTGAAAACTTAGCGCTGTAGGAAGTATTTCTCTGAGTTTATCGAGAGTGTTCAGAGAGTTAGGATGGCTGTAAAGGAGAGGAAGCTTTCTGTAGCTACATTTCGAAAACGTATTCAGAAATATCTCCATTATTTTAAGCGAAACGTTAATGAATTTTTGGAAAATTCAACAATACACGGCCTGCGTTATTTTAACGAGCGAAACTTGAGCATTCTTGAGCGGTAAGGAAATTTTATATGAAATAGAAGATTAAAAAATATAAATGTACATACCAATAACATTTATAATATTGACAGCAGTGCAACTATATATCAGCATCATGCATATTTTAAACCGTTGTAATGCGTATTTTGAGTTTTTTTAATGGGTCGTAGAATACGGTTAATATCTCGAAGTGTTGCAGCGTAACTTTAAAATATTTATGGGTCTAACCACAACGAATATTGCGAAATCCCCCCTTTATTTATATACTATATACCAAAGCCCTGTAGAAACATATTTATTGAGCGGAGTTTTCAAAACATAACCTTACGCTATACAGGACCACTTTCAGCCTGAATCTTCTTCTTTTTCATTATAACGGGTTAACCATGAAAACGTAAAGAAACTGGATTTCAAATAAAGTTTTTCATGAAAATTCTGTTATATTACAAAGTTTGAATATTGACATTATATTATATATATAACACTACATACATCAATCAAATGATCGCCTCGAAAATTTTTGCAAACTTCGATCCCTCTATCCATCGCCAAGACTTGAGATCACGCGGCAGGGAAATTTTTCCCGAAATAAAGCCATATCGCTCGTGTTGTGTGGCAAGTGACACCATCTTGCTCAAGAGCACATTGTCTAATTCGTGTTCTTCAATTGCAAGCCATAAAAAGGCGAGCGGAATTGACGGAGACAGTCTCACCGTTGTCATTTCAAAAGGAGTAAGGTTCAATCACTCAACCGGCCCAAAGAGCTCATCAGAAAGTAAGCTTTTTTGTTGGCTGCAATGGCCTGTCTTCAATTAGTTGAGGGTATTCGGAGCTTCAAATGTGAGAGTATTGCTTATTTCCGTGTATCCCCCGAGTGATAAATGTGCCTCGTCGCTGAAGAAATTTTTGTTCGAAAAATCGCCATCTACTGCTCTACAGCCACTGCTTGTTCAAGCACCCAATCGACGTATGTAAGGCGTGGTTCATGCTCAGCTGACTTCAGTTCTTGTATGAGGTGGATTTAATATGGGCATAAGTGTGAGCTTAAGTGAAGTGAAGAAACTTGCCACTCTTAAGAACGTCTTCGGTAACACTTTGACTTACAGTAGCAATATTCGAGGTGAAATGAGTAAAACGATGATGATTTTTAATTTTACCAAAATGTTTGAGTAGTTGGACAATTATGGGCACCACAATCTGTTCTGAAAGCACGAAACGTTGTCACTTTTGAAAGAATGGCTTGCGCGGTGGGTGAGTCATCTATTTTCATAAATCATTGACTTTTAACTAAAACAAAATATAATCGATTTAAAAGTTAAGATTTTCAACAGCGTCCTTTTGAAACCATAAAATGGATAATTTTATATTAAGGTTGAACCGTTAAAAGAAATGATGTTAACGATAACTTGGAAAACTAAGTCTTTCGTACTGATAACATTGAGATAAAAATAATTTATATTTTTTAAATCACACATTATTATTTCGATGTTTTATGAAACGCCTTTGAGTAGTTAAATCTTACACTAAACTTGGTTATTAATTGCTCTAGAAATGTTGCTTTTTTCTAAAATATTTTTTTGGTAGCAAATTTCTTAATCACATTAAAATTATGAAGAACATTAGTCTGCCAAGAAATGAAAATAAAAAATTAGTCTTAAAACTGTGAAACAGAATGTACCTGAAACGTACAATGAAACGCAATCGCAATTAGTTTAAATCTAAAGACGTCTTGAAAAAGGTGCTCAGAAATACGAAACCATATATATGATATTGACGGACGAACAAAGGATGACTAGCAGTGGACCTCACTTTTGAAGAACCACCTTCTTACTATCTTAACATGCATCCCTATTCATTGGACGAAACCGGGTACGCATAGACAACACTAATCGAATGAACGGGACATTTAAACCAGTCGTTAAACAAGCGTACAGAGAGAGAGTCTAGTTTGCAGAGTCGAACTGTTCGGACGTGCCAATTTATAAGTTTAAATATTTTAAATAAGTCTATATTTTGTTAGGTATTAAAGTATGTTTTTCATGTATATAATTTGCGTAGCGGTAAAATAGACCCCATATGTATGTAACCCTAATGATTATTTGACCTCTGTTCATTCATTCTGTTCATTGCTTGCTTTGTTGTAATTTCAGGACATTTTTTATCGTAACATTTGTGGTCATAGTGGCAGTTAGCATAAGTTTCGTTTACCTCGTAAAAGTAAAATGGTCGATTTCGCCCACAATAATAAGCATCAATAGTGAGCCCGCCTTCATTGTCCGTGAACCGTTTCCTAGTGTAACGATTTGCAACATGAATCAAGCACTCAAGAGCAGAGTGGCAAATTTTACCAAGTAAGTCAATCGCACTCCTAATAATAATAGAAATCATCTACTGAATATCTATATATATATGCATAAGAAACTGGTGATAGACCTCGATGTATTGTATTTTCCAAATACTGGTTTTAGCAGCTTCTAGTTATAAAAGGGGTCCCACAATTAAGGAAAGTTTGGAATTAAATAAAAAACACTGTTTTAAGTCTTTCGATAGTAAATTTCTTGTTGAATACTAAAGTACATAGAATAGGGCTATTAATGGAATAATTCATCGGGCAAATGACCTCCATTGCTTTCCATACACATACACACTCCTTTGCCGAAGTTTTTCATGACTTCTTCGTGACTTTTGCCTGCTGTGATAGCCCTTTGATTTTAAGTAATGCCATAAACACGATCTAGAACACCATCAACAGACCCTGCTTGGCCTGTTTGATTTTCAAAAAAGTATCATCCAATTATGCCTCCATTACAAAATCCACAACAAACAGTGACACGTTGTGGTGAATTCATTTTCGTCAATCACCCTTGGGTTATCAGAACGCCAAAAGAGGCAAATGGGGCGACTAACAAAGCCATCAAGGTGAAAATATGCTTCATCGCTTATGATGACAATTCTTCTCCACGCCGAATTGTGGCTCCTTCATTGTCGCTGACACTATCGCGCCCTGCTACTTCCATGTTGTCAGTTGAACGACTTGTTTTTCAGAATTTTTCAATTAATTTCTTCACAACTGAAGAAGTTAAAACACTGTTTCGACTATCTAGACCGGACGAATATAAAAGCTGTCAAGCAGTTTATTGGTCAGAGATATGATAACCGAGAATTAGGTATCTGAGAAAATGTGTATGTTACTACGTGGAGTTACATGGCGTCGAATCATGTCTAAATTACTCGTAATATTCAAAATTATTAAAATTTAATTTTTTATGCTGTCGTCCTAGGTAATGTGTATTTCTGACATAAAAAACCTGCAGATAATAAAAACATTAGCCCTTCGAAAGTGTCCTCAAATTGAAATATAACCAAATTTTGTATTTATTTGGCGGATGAAAAATGTTTTTTTTTTTTCTGGATCCAATTAATGAAAGCTAGTTGATAGGATCTTCTAGATGGCCAAAAGACACCAGTAGTCAACTTCATCGGGTGTGGTCATGATTTTAGCTAAAGACACCAGTATTCAACTTCATCGGGTGTGGTCATGATTTTAGCTAAAGATTCCCGATTGAAATCCACTAACCGTTCGAAGGCGGTTTTAAAGCGCCAACACCAAGTCTGGATCCTGTTGGGAAGATTTTCCCAACCCCAAGTTGAAATTTTGAAGAAAAACTACAACAAAAGTGTTTGAGTTTCACTGTAAATATTTCATTTTTACCAATTTTTCAAGGCAATGCAGTATATTTAGGATTTAATTTTTCGGCTAAACTTTTTCTCCAATTTTTGGTGTTCATCTCGAAGTTTTCCATAGCATGTGGATATATCCACAATTGGTTCTAAGCTGTCTTCGGCTGCTTAATTTATATGAGAAGCTTTTATTTCATTTTAGAAATACATTCGGCCCACCGAATTCGAATTTTCTGTCAAGACAGATCTCAAAAATTTGATTCTTACTGAATCCATCCGCCTGTTAGGACGCAGTGCTTTAAGATTGTATCAGTGGCTTTTAAATGTAAAATATTATCGCTTTCCTGATTATTTTTTTTCAATGGTGTTTTAAACACGTTTTGGAATAAGCTTTAACAGAACAAGAAAAAAAGTTAATAAATAAGCTGTAACTGTAATGTATATGCGGTTGGAGTCGTGGTAGCTGTATTCCGCTCAAGGAAACAATTTTGGCGTAAATGCAGAAAAATACTCTTATATCCGTAAGAAACGGTTTGCAGCAAATAAAAGTGGTGTAGACCTAACGATAATCTAACCATATTCGGTACGGTTCTGGCTTGTGTTCCATCCTTTTCGTTAGTGATTCCAACTGTATCTGCTATTCTCTGCATTCTCGTGAAGAACAGATAGTCGAAGTACATACTGCAAGTGGTGCAGTCCAACTCCTTTGGCACATATCCAAGATATAATATTTTAGTGTGTCCTATACTGTAGTTCTTTCAAGGGTGAGTAGCATTCCATCTAATTGCGTTGCTGCTCGTTTGTAATTTCCCATACAGATCCCGAGAAAGGAAATTAAGGGGAGATAGCAGTGCCTTTGAGGGTTATGATGACAGTGCTCACGTTACCAGGATAGAAATCGACCCTTGAACGCTCTCTAATTTATATATATAATTGGAGCCCTGTAACCCCTGAATCGATTTTCGGCCGAGCTCTTCTTCTAATTTGCGTGTGGATGGTTTTCCAACAAATGGAGCCACCTTCAATTTATACTTTTTTATGATGAGCTTTATTTTATGTCAGAAATACACTCGGAGGGGTGGACATTCCCTGCCGAGGGCGACCGGAATAAGAAAATTTAACTTAATTTTTTATTAAAATAATTTTCTCTAACTTCATCTAATTTGCTGTTGCCTTAATTGCCTACTCAAAACACACTAACATCTGTTGGCAAGAGTTATTGGATTTCCATGTTAATACAATTAAATAAATCAACGGACATTCAATCATAGCATTGACAATTGACATAAAAAGTTGTTATGACTTTATAGTTAAAATATGTTTTGAGAACTAAGTATTTTTACCATTTTGCTTGTTCTGTTTAGGAATTCGATGGAGTACGAAGTGATGCAATTTTCCTGCGATATGAAGTCTAATTTAACGGTATTAGATGCTATTAAGGATTGGCGTTTTCCCACTGAAGTGATTTTGAATGTAAATTAACAGTAATTGAGGCTACATCCAGGGAGGGAGGGAAAGTAATATTTGCATATTCACAGGTATCCCAATCTTGCGAGCGGATGTTACTTGACTGCACTTTTGGCGGCGTTTCATATAATTGTACGGACCTCTTTCAACCTGTTTTACTGGATGAAGGTTTATGTTGCACATTCAATTCATTGGATCCAGTTTATAGATTTAAAAATATGTATGTATTTCAGGAGTTCTCTAATAATCTAATATATTCTTAATAATCACCATTCTTACTTACTCATTCAAATCAGATCAAACCAGTTTGCGTTTAATACATCATATCCCCCTAATGTCAAGCCAGTGGATTACAGCTTGGAAAATGGCTATCAGAATCCCTTACCTGAACACTATTCTCCAATGAGAGCTATAGGCTATGGGATAACAGTCGGTTTGAGTGTCGTTTTAAATGTGGATAGTGATGAGTATTATTGCTCTACTAGTAATAGTATAGGTTTCAAATTATCAATACACAATCCCGAGGTCATGCCGGATATACGTGAAAATGGGTTGCTGCTACCGCCGGGTCAAGAATCCTTCGTGCGTCTACTGCCCACTCAATTGATCGCACACAAGAAGCTACGTAATCTCAGTAGAAAACAAAGGAACTGCCTTTTTGAAGAAGAATCGAAATTAAATGTGTTTTCCTACTATTCTTATGAAAATTGCGTGTATGAGTGTAGAACTGAAATTCTTATAACACATTGTGGCTGCATCCCGCCTCACATATATACCAAATATTCGAATTTTACGGTCTGCAGTTATAAAGAATGGCCATGTTTTCTTAGGGCTAATTATCTATCTAAGAGAAATGACCAGTTCTGCGGTCAGCAATGTTTGCCCAAGTGCTTTTCCAAAAGCTTCAAAGTGGATATATTCTCCGCAAAGCTAAATAAAACTTTCCTTGAGATATCTAGCCCGATAATCGCGAATATGAGTAGCGCCTACGTGGATAAAAATATTGCCGTGGCGAGATTTTACTTGAATCAATATAATTATGAAAGCACCATAAAATCGCCATACATTGATGCTATCGATGTGCTGGGTAAGTATAAAAATATAACTAAAATATCCATTATTTTCCCTCTTTATGTTTTATGTTCAGAAAAGTATGTTTTGATACATTTAAACATTGGTCTAAATCTAAAAAATATGGCGATATGACTGCAGTATAGGGCACGCTAAAATATTTACCTTCGGTTTAAGGGATGAGTGGGCTGGAGTACACCCCTTGTGCTTCGACATACTTTATTCCGTGAGAATGACAAACAGTAAACAGTGATGAGAAAGTACTAACGCCCTCGATCAGCTAGCCATAGCCATTGTTACAGACTGCTCAAAGCTCAAAGGAAAAGAGGTTCTGGAGTACACTCTCCTATACTTTCAATGAATATGAGCATGAGACTACCGGAATACTACTGAATTCTACGGCAACATGATATATTCCGACAGTGAAGCCAGATACCTATAATGTAACAGTACCACAAAAGTGGCTATAGAATGTAGAAGCAACTCGAACAAACTCTCTATCAAATGCAACAAAGCAGTAGTCTGGGTACCTGGACTCAGTGACATTCCAGGCAATATAATAGCAAATGAACTTGCGTGGGACAGAACCCTTCTATTCGCAATAAAACACCCACCGATGGAAGTTTACCTTTATTCACGGCCAAGTATATGGTTAAACTGGCCTTTGCCCAACAATCAGACTCCAGATGGCTAAATGAGATCACGTGTAACGTGACCAGACATCTAAGGCCGTTGACCAACGCGAAAAAATCCAAAAATTTAACCTTCTCTATTAACAGAACAGCAGGCATAATAATAATTTTTGTCGCAGCTTTTAGGAATTTAGAAGGTTAAGAGTCTTTTGTTCTCTGTCGTCTCTGTCCAGCCCTGCGCGACACAAATTACTCCTTAAACACTTCTTCGACAGTTTCGCTGATCTAGTTTCCTCGAAAATTGGAAATCTCGTTTCTTTTATAACGCGCACGAAATGGTTTGATCAATTAAGAAGATGCAGACTGGTGCCTCTCAGCGTTATCACAATGAGCTCATGAAACTTTTGGAAATCTACAGACGCCCTAAGGGGTCAAAACATACTTTGATGGAATGCTCGAAACAGTCATCATCATTTCTTGTTTTCAGCAATAGGTCTGAGGACTCTCATTATTTGGTGAGGCCTAGTAGCTTCACGCATGCCTTACCTTCGTTCCCTCGCATTCGCTTGGACATTGCAGATAAGGCTCGAAAATGTTAAACGAAGTGTGACAATTAAGTAATGAGACTGATTCCATAAAAATCGTATATTACAAAATTATTCTACATCTCTGCCGATCAAAATATTCCCCATAGGCAGCTATGCAACGATTCCATAGCGTCTTCCATGCTTCATAACATTTCTAGAACGCTTCAACTGGGATGTCCGCGAGTACCCTCGTCACGGCTGGATGTCTTCAATCGACTCAGAATGGGTTACTTTGACCACCGATTAAGTTCCAGGGAACAAAAATAGTCACGGGGTGATATATCGGGCGAATAAGGACGACGATCCCTTTAGAGGCCAAATACTGGTACGCTGGCAGGGCGCGCTGTCGCGATGAAGAATCCATTTACGAGCGTTGTCTGGGCCCACGGTGCTGACTCGTTTTCGCAATCCTTCGAGTACTTGGCGAAAGTAGACTTGATTTACAATTTGCCCTAGGGGAATAAATTCTTTGTAGACGATTCCACGGCTTTCAAAAAAAGGCAATAATCATTGTTTTTCCATTTTCGTGACGATCACCACGAACACACGTTTACTTAACACGACATAGCCGGCGAACTAAACTAGCTAGAGCTATGGCAAATAAGAGAAGGATGCCGGGAGAGGTGAAAGAGAATTTCAAGGTCGCAGGGTTACCACAAAAGCAAAAATATAATTAATCTCATTGCTTTATTGTCACACCTTGTATCTCCATGCCCCGCTTCGGTACTTGAAAGTATATATTATATAACATTTTGCAAAATAGATATGCCTCTGTTCATTTGGTAGAGAGCCTTCACTACTTGGCACTATTTTTGCTAAGGAATTGATATCGCAATTAGCTCCAATGGTATTTTGTTTCGAATAGATCGGTTCACAGATTAACTTCCCAGAAGAAAAATAGTTCTTAATTCTTATGTAAATCAAACAATAAATACAAATTTTTCGAATGGGTCGGTCCCGGTTCCACTTTCACATGACAATTAGGCAAATAGGCAAATAGTTGCCTGTGTGCCAAATTTCATGTACATCAAGGGATTTAAAAATATAGTTGATTTGTTCGAATAGATCGGTATCAAGTCCACTTCCCTGATAATATTTTCTTATCGGATGCATACGTTATACGCCGAATACATCCTCCAAGTTTTAGGTCTCTGCGTTCGATGGCCTAGATAGTGGGTTCATCCGTCATGCATTCAGTACAAAACCATGTACATTTGTACTATATATACTGCGTATATATGTATGTATATAGATTATTCCAATTGGTTTTCTTTGACTGGAAGGCAGTTGGACCAGGAGTCGAACCATGGCCTGAATGTTAATGCACTGCCAATCACTAGACTATTGCGGCCTCCCACTCAAATGATATTTTTTGGTTAATATTTTCAATAAATTTTTAATCATAATTATAAAGCTTCCATTTCAAAACTGTGGAGTAAATTCCGCTTTAGTGTGTGAATATCAATTTTCATTTGAGTTTAGAGAATAAGTATTTATTTATCATAGGCGTATGTTGCATGAATTAAATTCCTTATAAAAAATCGACAGGAGTATAATAAATCATAATAACGATAAAAACAGCAACCAATTTTCATTTATAAAAATATTTATTAGATAAAAGTCGTCGAACTAGGAAGAGGAAATGGAACTTACAATTTATTTCTCTTTTTTCGCCTCCAGCAAAAGTTGGCGGTCTGATCGGCGTATTTATGGGAATTAGTTTTATTTCGCTGACGGAAATTATTTACTACTTGTGCATACGATCCAAACGATCGAAATGTGAACACGATAAAAAGATTTCCCTGGGAAAACCACGCGTTCCTTTGGCAAAGAGATCAAGAATGGTTTTTGTTAATCCTTACAGATTCTCAACGAATTCACCAAAATCACTCAACAATCCTGCTGCAAGACGCCAATTTGTGGCACATCATTGATTTTGTCAACACGATGATGAACTATGAAAAATCTAACCAAGAAATTTATTCATAAAATTAAAGAAATTTTTATTATACAAAAGGAGAAGGAGAAGTTCAATCTTATAGTTTGACCACCAATAGGATGCACACGACTTTATTTGAAAACTAGTAAATATGTAAATGCGTTCGTCAAGGTCACCCTATATTCACCACACATTTGCTTTATATTCACCTTATTCACCAAATATTGATATCAAAGTTATTATTCGTCACCTGCTGACATCTGATATGAAACATTTTTACTATAAACAAATATACCGACATACTTACATACTTCGTGGGAATGTGAAGTGGGGGAAATACATTCTCATCTACGTTGACTGAAACTTGAAGTGAAGAGCAGTGATGCGGTGAGGAGTTAAGGTGCGTGAGTGCAATTTCATTTCGACCGTTCAATAGCGTGTCCGCAAACATTTTACAAGCATTTGATTAAGTATTTGCTAAAGGTAAATTTATTTTGCGCTGCTTTGGCGGATATTTAATGCCTAATGACACTTCATATTCATATAAGTATGTCCTTTTAAATTATTACGACTCTAGGGCATTTAATTACAGTTACAAATCGGTATTCCTTGGGGCAGCATGAATTTTTATACTGAAGATCGTTTGGTGCAATTAAAACCAAAATTCACACCTGAAAAGCAAAAGTCAACTGGTGAGTAGAAATGTCGAGGTCTATACATAGATGTGTGTTTGCAGCAGGATTTTTTATTATTTCTAGTTCTCCAAAAACATAAGAGCAGTGATTGCTCCAGCGAGGAAATGGACGATGAACACCTTTGTACTAAAGAAGCTGCAAAGAAAAGCGTGAAATATTATTTACAAAATTCCACTTTGCATGGCTTGAAATATATTGCTGAGGAGAAAATAACTTTACCCGAAAGGTTAGTAAAAGAGCTTATGTTGTTATTGTTGTTGTCGCTGTTGGATAACCCCACTTAGGAGCAGGGCAGATCAGTCATTGAGACATTGAGGTCATCTAACGGCAAGTTCAGGAAACATACATACGACGGGTTCGCACCAGGGGGGGTTAGGTGGGTTGACTGTAAGGGACATGCAAAGAGATGGTGGTTAATGCAGAGCGAGGAGTTCTTTTGCATTCAGGACATACAGCTGAATACGTCGATTATATTTGACTATAATATACAGATCTAAGTTGTGACAGTATTATGCGGGACTCTCGGGGCAGGTCGATCTCTTTGTCTAAAATAATTCATTTACTGGAAGAAAGTTCAGGAAAGTGATCACGAACTCTCGGTGTCTAATGTCTGTTGGTAAGCCGTCCTGTCCATCGGTTGTTTTAGGTAGTGCTGCATGCAGTACTTGAGGTTGAGTACCCCGTTTCTTATGTGTCTGGGTGGTGGTTCAGCGTCTAGTAATTGTATGTTTGGGTGATGCTCTGGCGACATCAGAAGGCTGACTGTCACGGTCCTGAGGGTGGATCATATCAGTATATCATAGTTTACGCTCCACCGGCCCATTACCTTGTGGGTCGCCAGCAAGACTTTTGTAAAGGTGGTTTGAGGATCTTGTTGCTTCTCAGGAGTTTTGTGGCAATTGCAGTCGTCTGCAGAGTGAAGTAGTGCAGACTGTCGAATGTGACTCCCAGCTTTGGAAGGTTCACAGTCGGAATTTTTACTCCTTCGTTGAGCTCGTGCAGAGTGTATCCGAGGATTTTGCTGGTTATAGTTGTAATTGTTTTGCAGCGAGACAGTGGGAAAAGTTGTTAAGATAGCAATTCATTTTCGATCATGATCCATCAATATCCTGGCCGGATGCTAATATCGAGCATATATCATGCGTGATCCCTTGATAATGTTTTTGAGTTTCGATGCTTGACCTCGAAATTCTACCAAATATTGACGACCATTCGGGTAGCCCATGGTCTACCTTTTCAAGCCTGGCGGTAATGAGTATTCCCCAACGTCCCCACAAAACGACCTACTGAGATAAAGTGGACCACACGACAATTTGACAGTGTCGACAAT